AAAAGTAAATCAGAGCTAAAAAAGTGCAAAAACACAGGCAAATTTGCCTGCGTTGGTCTACATATTAAGGGATAATGCTCTTCTACATTGTCAGCAATTGGTGTTGTTGCAAGTTGGTTCCAACTTTTTTTAAACTCTTTAAACCACTTTGGCGTTATTCGACCAAGTTGTATTTGTTGAAAATGAGTGGCTTGGTCAGGTAAAACTCGAGAACAAATAATCCATACTAAATAATCTAATCTAGGCCTATTAAAACGATAGAGATAACAATGTTTAAGTACTTTCCAATAGGATTCTATCATCATATTTGTTTTTCCAATTGGTATTGTTGCTCACATTGAACGTGCCCAGAGATGCTATTGTGATAATTTATACCATGAAGACCACAGGTATGACCACAATATTATAAGATTATTTTCTATATAAAAATTATATATTTCAAGCACTGCATATTCTCGAATTTCTGCAGATATTAAAAATTTACTATCTGCATTAATAGGTATTTTTGGGTGTATATTAAAATGTTTTCTGACAAGACTTATAATATTTTTTTGTAAGTTTAATAGACAAACTTGGTAATACTCGAGTTCAGAACGTGTCAAATCTGGTTTAAAATTAGAATTGATGAAACTAAACTCAGCTATGGCTTCTTCAGACTGGTATTGGGTATATTGTATCTTTTTTTTACTTTTTAGTTTTTTCATAATTGCTTGATTAATATGCCATTGACATAATTGTATATCAGCTTGTGGCCATACTTCTTTCGCCACGTTTATCTCAGCAAAATCTTTGTCTGTATAGAAATAAACTGGATTTAGACCATGACTTTGAATAGAATTAAAGAAACCTGCAAGTGTATTTGTCCTTAAATACTCTTGTGATCCTTTTTCTTGAGTATTTGTTGTATTTAATAACAGATATGTTAAAGGAAAACCTGCACCATCAATATTACCAATAAGGCCATATAATTCAAATCGACCTTTTGCAGTTTTATAAGTTGCATCACAATAAACTTCAGATATAGACAAAAGAGCACTAAATAGAGGTGTTATAAAGCCTATTGCAGTTATTTTATCTGTTATTAATTTGAAGCAGAGTTTACAACCTGGGGCATGATTTGTTTTAAGAAATATAAATGCTAAAATAACTTGGTCATCATTAATTTTATATGAGTCTTGTGTGAATACTGACCACCAATAATGGATTTGCTTTGCTATAACATTTAAAATTTCAAATTTATTGCAGAGAATTTGTGTTAGATCTAAATGAAGGTTTGTACAAATTTCTTGCTTAATTTCTTCTAGTGTTGAGACATCTTCAGGATTCTCATGAATAATATCATGACGAAGTTTTAATATTGCTTCCATTGCAGGTACATCAATATGAAGGGTCAATTTACCGTGACAATCAAATCGAGTAATTCTTTTTCTGTTTGATTGTTTACAATCTCACTCTAATTCGCAACATTGAGAACATGTGAAGTAATACATAACAACATTATTAAATCAAGCTGAAATATTTGGTGCTGTTGTAATTGACTAGACATAATCATCTCCTTCTTCAACTTTATCTACAATTATTCTTGCTAATGATTTAAGATCATTAGACTCTATTTTAGAAAAGGTATCGTCAGTAAGATCAATACGTATTTCAAATAAAATTCTGCTATTATTTTCAATATTGGAGATTAGGTTTGCTATATAATTAGAAAGAGATTGTGCTGAAATTGTCTCAATAGTGGTTTGAGTACTATCATTATCTAATTTTCTTCGCTTTTCAGCTTTAAAGATAAGACAATTCGCACAAGTTTTGTAAGCTTTTCCTTTAAGTATGAAAGATTCAGGTGGATAATGATGACTACAAGAATTGTATTTATTCATTTTTAATAGAAATTGGAGAATGATTATGGAAATTTTTTGAAGAGTAATTGTAAAGCGATAGAAGTAAAATTAAAAGCGAGATCAATATGAACAGGCAACAATCAAACCAAGTGATATTTATATACCATATTACCGCGGAATAGTGCACATGGGCGTTATTTCAAAAATTGTATTCCCTTAAAATAGTATACTTGGCTTCAAAATAACGCCCATGTGCGTCCCGAAATAGCGCGCACCTTATATAGTATACTGTATAAATAAATGTATTTCTATAACTTTAAGTGTACTGAAC